GGTTGTTGATGCGTTGTAACTACAACATGCAAATGTAGCAAGTATACTAATCGCACAAGTAATATATTGATGAGCAGAGTATCGTTCCCATGAGAATTGTAAGCAAAGCACTGAGTTTTCTAATGTTTTCTAGTTGAAGCAATCAAATTCTTTGGATTGGTGGGAGCAAATTTTAATTTAAAAACAACAAAATGAAATTTACTAAGGTGAAAACTTACTTAAGAAAGCAATAAAAAATTACGGAATATCAATTCAAGTAAAACGGGTAGGGTTTTGACTTCATTTGGATTTTTATGGGTTAAGCCTATAATTANAGTGAAATTCTATCTTCATTAAAATGAATTTACAAAAAAGCCCTTGCATGCTCCAACACTTGAATCTTTGATTTTCTCTTCCTTCTCGTTCATTTGAGCTCCAAAGGTGCTTCCAATCAACCTCTGACATTCCTGACTCTAAAGACTCTCAAATTTGAATTGATTGACCCTGTTTTTGCTTTGTTTTGATCTGGAAATACGTTTTAGACCTGAAATATGAAATGAACGAATCAAGTGGCAATTCAGGCCTAAATTCAATGGAAAGTATCCGAAAATCTTACCAAATAAACAAGAAAAACAGTATAATCTATGGATTATCAAATACCCCCAAACTTAAAGTACGCTCGTCCTCGAGCACCAAAAACAAAACAAAAGAAAAACGATAGGATTAGATACTTGCAGGAGCCTCCAAACATGCATAAGATCTCTGATCCTTGTTTGGATTGATATTATCTTTGTTATTTCAATTTAAGTATGTAATATATATATATATAAGACCTTGATCTTGGCGAAATTAGAGTAATCGATGGGCAATAATTTTTGTTTTTCCGCTGCTTCTACTCATCGATTTACTAACACATGTGTTTTATTTGCTAAATATAAGGAGATGCAACATCATCGATCATTCATTTTGACTTGATTATCCTACAATTATTTTGATCAATTTACATTTAAAAGGAACACAAAATAGTTTTAACCTTTGGTTGCTAAGACATTTGTTATCTAAAATGATTATGATCGGAGAATTAATGCTTGCATTCTCGAAGGTCTTTCTTTTTCCTTTTTATTCCCATTGTTTATTGACTGAGTCTTTGGCATTGCCTTTGATACCAGTGATTATCATCTTTAGTTTTCTTTTTCGCACAGTGAATTAAGAAGTAATCCACTATATATCATTGTCTGCAGGTGCCCCCAGCTGAGGCAACTTGTTATGCTAGCTTGGAACAGAATAAAGAAGGATGGAGTTTGCAAGGCTATTCGTACATGGAGATGTCTTGAATCCTTGACAATGCCTAGTATAGCAAATCCCTCTTATCTTATAGAGGAAATAGCCCTAAATTGCAAGAACTTTAGTGAACTCAAGGTCATGGGTCCTTTTGACGTTCTCTTTGCTTCTACGATAGCCAAATTTCTTCCAAACTTGAAGGTTTTGAGCCTGAGATGGTCAATGATAGTTAAGGATTCCCTAATGCTTATATTGGATTACCTACCAAACCTAGAAGTCCTCAACATATCACATTACCTTCTTATAGAAGGTATACTGCTTCCTCCACCGATGCTTGAAAAAATTATTAAAAAGCTAGATAAAATTATCTTGCAAAGGTTTGCTCCATTACATGAATTCTTAACATGTACTGAGGACTCGTGCATCATGTGCTAGCATACTTGAAGTGATGAAGGGCTTTTGAGGTATTACAAGTATGAGGAAGGCCTATGGAAAATGGATGAGGCAAGGTCTATTGCTCTTTGATTAGGACACTGCAGAGACTGTAATTTAGTGGTCAGAAATTATAGCCTATGTACCTCTTCTTTACATATTGTTTTGCATGTATGAAATATCTACATAATATGTTGTTGAATAACCACATATAGAATTGGTCCATTGTGTTTTAGGTTGTCATCCTCTTAACGCTTATGTTTTAGGTTGTCAACCTCGTAACACTTGCGTGATGATCTTCTCCCATGGGAAAAGTACTATTTGTCTATATCATTATGTACATATGGTAAAATTTCAGTTTTTGTTGCTTCAAGCTGACCTTTTGTTGTCAATTAATGTTATTTCAAATTGAAATGGTTTCAAAGTAATACGTAATTGATTATTTTATTCATCATTTACGTCGTTACAATTTAATCATAAGGATTTCTCTATTTTCAATATATTATACTTATATATTTACGTTTTTGCATCTTGAATTGGAAATATTGTTTCCAATTCATGTTATTTTATGTATGGAACTATTATTGCTTATATTATTGAATTTGAAATTCTATTAATTTTGTAATTGTTAGTCTCAAATTCATTTCTATTGTCAGATTAAGTGTTTGATAGTGAGATTTTGAAGGAATCTTTGATTTTCCCTTCTTTTATACTTTTATGTTAAGTTTGTGTATGTTGAAACGACAATATTATACTGACATTGTTCAACTGAAACGGTAATATTAAAGTTTTATAGTGCGCTGTCGTTTTGGCTTTGTAAAATTCGTAAGTGATAGAAAATGTTGTCATTTAAAATGTTGTTGATATTTAAAGTAAATATGTGGATTTAATGTTCAATATTTTACTTGAAATAAATTTTTGGATTTAGGGTTTTCTCTGTCAGTTTTGGCATTAAGGGCATTTGTCCCAGTATGTTTGTCGCGTTTTGCACATCCATCTTTCGTCGTTGACTGAAGTTTAGATAAGTAAAGTAAATTCTCTTTAGTTACAATGACAATGTCGTTTTTTTTTTCACATTGGTTTAATTAATTTATCATTGATTTTAACTTTGATTAAAGTACATGTTATTCTTATGGAGTTCTCACATTTGTTATCATAGTTGTAAGAAGTTGTTGTTAGATAGTTGTGCCTATAATTTGTTGTGCTCAAGTTGTTTATTCGTTTCTCTTGCAGTCGTGTTACAGGTTATTTTCTCGGTAAATATACTACTGAATTGGTGTCTTTCTCATTACGATTTTGTTTATTATCTTGCTGTATTTAGTATACCTTGTAATAGTGTTTGTTTTCTGAATTGATGTTATGAAATGCCAGTGGTGCAAATGCTTCAGAAGTTACAATCATTGTTATCATCTAATTATCTATTTATTTTTCGAAAAACTTGCCAAGGGTTTGGTGTTCTTTGCAGTATGTTTGAGATATTGTTGTTTTAATGAGAATTATAGCAGTTGGAGTCATATATGGTGAGTATATTAATAGCAGTTTGACATAGTGCTTGCATGTTATTCTATTTTCAAATCACAATCACTAGTTGTAATCTTCTGTCTCTATCATGTTTTATGAAGAATAAATGTCTCCCATGTAATAACAAAGTCTTACAATTTCTATTATGTTGACTGATGGTCTGTTTTCTCTTTTTTTTTTATTTGATGACATTTTATTTTTTAATTGTAGTAATGGCTCTAAAAAACTTGATGAAATTTATTCGAAGACTTGATTCCAAAGTACTATATAAAAGAGGATCAAGCCACTATTCCAAGTCAGAATTTTTAATGCCTTTACAGACTCCTGTTTTACCTGCATCAGTCTCTAATCCTGTGAAACCTGGTTCTGGTTCCTGCCATGTTGAATTGATTGAAGAAGAAGAAAATTAGTTAGAAGAAATTCCATTATGTAAATTGGTGAAACGGCAGAAAACTTGTCAGCATGAGGGTTCAAATACGAATTCTGAACGGAAATGGAAAAATCTTTCTAAAGAAGATCTAGACAGCAAAACATTCAGCCTGGGGAAAGAGGTAATGTTTTTTCACTTTGTCATGTATGTAATTGAATATATACTTTATTTGGCATGGCAACATTAACGTGGTTTCATTGTTTTTGAAATAAGCTTATGAAGGTTTGTTAGAAATCAGAGAACGTTGGCTTGTTTCAGAAGATGTGATCTTAGATTTGAAAAAAGAAAATGAAGATGTGATTTCCAAGGTTCACAGATTGGAAGAACAGTTGACGATATCAAAGGAGGCGTTTAAAAAGGTCAAAACTGAATTGAAACACTATCAAGAATCATTTAGAAATGCTGAACGGTCTTTTGCAAATGAGCGGCAACAAAAAGAAGTCCTTAAAAAGAAAAGTAATGAATTGTTTGACGAAAATAACAACATCAAATCTTTACTTGCACAAGCTGAGAAAGATAAAGAAGAAGCTTATGATTCGGTGTCAGAAATGTTTTTGGCCACCAGAAAAGCTCATGTCAAAGAATTTTAGGTCAGATTTCCAAATGAAGATTCTAGTTTTTTAGAGACAATTGTGTTGAAAAATGAGAAGATGTTGCCTAATAGAGATTATATTGACTACAAAGCTGTTGTACCTTTCTCTGGTCTACTTAATGCCACTTCTATAAATATTTAAACCGTTTGATTGTAACTGACAATATTTGCCATGCAAGTGTTTGTAGTTGTGTTATTATAACGGACGTGGATGTATTTAGTTGACGCTAATTTTTGTGTATGTGAAAAAAAAATCTCAAGCTTGTGAATATTTAAACTGTTTAATTGTAATATTAATGTTAAATATCTTGACCATGTTTGTCGCACAAGAGTTTGTAGTTGGGGTTATTATTACAGATGTGGATGCATTTAATTGATCTCGATTTTGCGTATGTAAAAAATTTGTATTTATAACACATAATACATATAATGTAGCATTCATTGTATTTGACAATAATAATATAAAATGTATAAATATCTTTGTATCAAGCAATTTATGTTTTTGTATATATTTAAATATTTAATGTAGCATTCATTGTATCTGACAATAATAATATAAAACATATAAATAACTTTCTATTATAAACAATGATTTATATTATATACAACATATCAATCCCTTTAGTTAAACACTTATTTGAAAACAATATTTGTCAATGTCTCTGCCAGTTCATCTTGTTCCAGGGATAGCAGAATCTTGATACCTTGTCTTGAAGTTACTCTTGATAGTGTGATGTACAATTGACTATGTGTAAAGACCTGATGTTACATATACAATCCTACCGTTTTGAGTGATTGACCTTGACTTTTGTTTATTGTCATACAAAAGCTAACTGTCACAGGTAACTGTCTTCTCTTCAACTTGAAAGGCCACTTCATATCTGCATCCGACATTATTATTCTAGGAATTGTAACAATATCACCAATATTTGACCCTGTAATAATCACTGCTTGTATGGACCACTTTCTTAAATAGGTTATAATCAATCTGGTTCCATTGCAAAGACCATCATATTGATTCAAGTTACGCAACAACATAATTGGAATGCCAATTTTTAAATGTAATTCATGTTCTAGCATGCCGAAGCACATTAGAGAATTAAGAAATTCGTTCGGATAGAGAATGTCATCATCGTTTGAGATACCTGCTGCCTTCCAAGTATTGTCAAAGCTGAAATTTGTCTTTTCATTTGTTGGCAAACTCTGGGTGATATAGCCGTTCAATCTATGTATAGTCTCATTTTTGGGTGTCAATATTGCTCTCTCTTTGATATAGTCAATCTTATTTATCTGAGTAAATAAATCTAGAAAAACAGCATTCATAATTGTTTCTTCGTGACTGGTATGTTGATCGATTTTCAAGTCTTCAGGTATTTGGATGTAACTCTTATCTTCTGCAATGTCCTTTCCTTCTCTAATATCAGGCAACCATTTGTCAAAAGCCTTTAAGTTATCCAATTCTGTTGGGTTTACCAAGTTTGTCTTCAACCTTATGTTCTCTATAAGTCTCAACACTGTTACATGTTTCCAAAGGGAAGATGATGATAAAAAGGCTTGTATTATGTCATGTTTTTTCCCTTTTGGTATAACTGGTGAAATCTACTGAAATCACCGCCCAAGGCAACAGCGAGGCCTCCAAATATTCTATCTACATTTGATTGATCTTTTTTAGACAAAATATCTTTTAAAGTTCTATCAAAAGCTTTAAAGCAATACCTATTTGCCATGGGTGCTTCATCCTAAATGATCAAAGCTGTTTGCTCAAGTAGTTTTGCCAATGGTGTCCCCTTTTTGATATCGCATGTTCTTTCCTCACTGATATTTAAAGGTATTCGAAAACGTGAATATGTCGTTCTTCCACCAGATAGCAGCAATGCATCAATTCCTGATGTAGTTACAGCTAGAACAATTTTACCCTCAGATCTTAATTTGGCCATGATTGTTGACCATAGGAAGGCTTTGCGTGTTCCACCATGTCCGTACACAAAAAATGGTGTTCCTCTTTAATTGTTGACTGAATTAAGGATTGAATCGTATATGCGTCTCTTGCCATTGTTGAGACCCTTGTATAAATCACTGTGTAGTATTTTGATGTTGTCGATATCATAATTTAATTCCTTAGTAATTAATCTATTTTTTGATTTTTCAAAAACATAACAGTATGGAATTGGCATTCCAAGGAAATCAGCCAAGGATTTTCCTTCCTTTGTCATCAGGTCTTCAATCTCGAACAATGTATGATTCTGAATCTGTTCCTTAGTGCATTTCAATTTTGTCATCCACATTTTCTGCTTAAGAATGTAGGGAATTTCTACAGATAGGCATTTTGCATTTGCTCTCCACAAGTCTCTTGGACTCACCACTTCATTATATACAAGAATAGTTACAAAGAGCTATCTTAACTGCCTTCCGGTAGCCCATGTTGATGCTTCATCAGAGCAATTATTCCACTCTTTATCATCTTCCAGCAATCCTAATGCATAACGCGCATCTTTGAATGTACTGAATATTTCTCCATTGATAGTTCAAATATCTTCAAATGATGTTGCTCCTTTTACTAAGTTGAGAAGCATTCGCAAATAATATTTCTCACCACTACTTGGGAATGAAAAATATACCCTGCCAATACACCTTGATTTTTGTTGTGGGGACCATTGTCTTTCTATATGTTTCCAAACCCATTTGCTTGGAAAATCAGAATAAGTCAATGATCTTGCGGAATGGTATCGTCGATTACACTTCATCCATTTAGTCAATTTAATTTGTGTAACAACCTTGCTTTCCAAAAGTGAAACCAAACATTTATTGGGATCGAAAATAACTGTTTGTTCCTTCTCTAAGTGGAATGGCAATCTTTCAACAGCTGATTCTCTATAATACATGTTAAATTGAAATAACCTCCAGCAAGCTTCCATAGAAGAGATATATCTGTAATGTTTTTGATTGAATTAATTAATATCATATTTATAACAAATATCAACAGACAATATAAAAACATTATATTTGATGTATTTTGTACATACCTGCAATCTAGATATGCCTTTATTTCATCTTTCTCCTGTAAAATCTTGCATTGATTGTTCTGTTGACCATTGTTTTCAATTTCCATAGAAACTCTCATTTTATCCAACCCTTTGTTGACATACTTGAATATAAACTTGTTTGATCTATGTTGATTACATATTTCAATATTCATGTGAGCATCAAACTTAACCAAAAGATCCCTATTATAAGGAACAGCAAAATGGTTTATCTAGTTTGATACCTTTTTTCTCAACAAATGCTCCATATTCTGTCTTCTATACATTAGGTATCCATTGTCATCCATAGATGTATGATTGAAAAATTTCTTTGGAAAATGTTTTTCACATTTGCCTTTCTCCATGCATGGTGAATTCTTGTTAACATCACCACACAGACCATGGATCATGTGATTCTCGACAGTTGCAAAGGCAACACGATCAGTTTCCTTATTTGATATTTCAGCAGAAACTATTTCATCTATTTTGGATGCTGAAGGATTCTTATATTTAGGATGTAGAAAAACCAATATATGAGCATGTGGGAGGCCTCTCTTTTGGAACTTGATAGTGTAGATAACTGACAAAAAAATTATAATGGGTTCAACAATAGTTGGTATAGTATAATTTCATATCATAAATTATCAATCAACTACAATTTTCAAAGAAAGTAGAAACATTATTCATTAGATTACTTACTTGCCATTGTTTCACCAAAATATTCTTATTTTTTTATCTCTCGCATCAACTCAAGCAATTTGATCTAAAAAACTCTGCAAACTGCAGTTACTCAACCTTCTTGATCACATTGTCCAATACAATTTTGTAGACATTGTATCTTTGGCCACTTGGGATTACAGGTGAACGTCAAATTTTTTGTTGGAAATCGCCATTGCATCTTGATAATTTTGACACGATATCGGGAACTACCAGTGTGAGACAAAGGGAGCAACGTAGATTTCCCTAGATGTTGTGCATTAACATCATCTTTTGAAATGGCATCCATCAATCTGCTGTACAAATCACTCCTCAATTTTTTTTTTATTGTTTCTAATCCAACGAAATCTTTCCTCTTTAACAACCATATATGCATCCACAATATATTACTATAATAATCTACTAGATCTCATCAGAGTATGCCCTTCATACAATCTATACTGCAATCAAAATGCATAATATACTCTCATGCTTAGCTTGTTTCTCTTTGAAGACTTTTGTCGGGGAATTCCTTATGGTTAATGTCAATTCNGGTTTTGCTTATTCACCAAAGCGAAGGTTGATAAAAGCGTCATAGGCATAGTAGAGAAGTCACATATTGTGTGTACGTGGTGACATGTAGTGTCCACTCTACTGATACTGAGAATCACACTTGAGGACGATGGTTGGGGCCATTGGATTGTCTGATTGGCTTGTTGGCTTCTTCACATTTGAGGTTGATAGTAGGAGCTATCAACTGGTGTGGATTAAGTTTGTTGGCCTACCTAATCAACTCGTTTTGGCTTGTTCGCCAAAGCAAAGGTTTGAAATGGGCAGGATAGGATCACAGTCCACTATTGTGAGGGCTATTGACTTGAGGAAAATAGTAGGAGCGTTTGTTTAATAAAAGGCCTTATTAAACAATAATAATAAACATTGTAATAACGGTTAATTATTCTACACTTGTAGATTCACTTAAAATGAGCAAAATTATCCCAACATCATTGCGACAAATCATCGAACTGGGGGAGAAATGGAATGGTGAAAATTTCATTGACTGGTATAGAAGTATAAACAATATACTTCAGTCAAGCGATAGATTATACACCATTGAGCAAGCTCTATCACATTATAAGGAACAGCAAAACGTTTATCCAGTTGATACCCTTTTTCTCAAAAATGCTCCATATGTCCTGTTTCTATACATTGGGTATCCATCGTCATCGTGTAGATGTAATGATTGACAAATTTCTTTGGAAAATGTTTGTTCACATTTGCCTTCTCCTATGCATGGTGAATTCTTGTTAAATCACCACACGGACCATGGATCATGTGATTCTCGACAGTTGCAAAGGCAAACGATCAGTTTCCTTATTGTTATTTCATAGTAGAAACTATTTTCATCTATTTTGATGCTGAAGGATTCTTATATTTAGGATGTAGAAAACCAATATATGAGCAGTGGGAGGCCTCTCTTTGGAACTTGATAGGTAGATAACTGACAAAAAATTATAATGGGTTCCACAATAGTTGGTATAGTATAATTTCATATCATAATTATCAATGAACTACAATTTTATCAAGAAAGTAGAAACATTATCTTAGATTACTTACTTGCCATTGTTTCACAAAATATTCTCTTTTGAAAATTCTCTCGCATCAACTCAAGCATTTGATCTAAAAACTCTGCAAACTGCAGTTACTCACCTGTCTTGATCACGTGTGCCATACAATTTTGTAGATATTGTATCTCTGGCCACTTGGGATTACAGGTGAACGTCAAAATTTGTTGGAAATCGCCATTGCATCTTGATAATTTGAACACAATATCGGGAACTACCAGTGTGAGACGAAGGAGCAACGTAGATTTCCCTAGAGTGTGTATGAACATCCTCTTTTGAATGGCATTCCATCAATCTGTTGCGCAAAATCACTCCTCAATTTTTTTTTATGTTTCTAATCCAACGAAATCTTTCCTCTTCAACAACATATATGCATCCACAATATATTGTCTATAATAATCTACTAGATCTCATCAGAGTATGCCCTTCTACAATCTATACTGCAATCAAAGCATAATATACTCTATGCTTGCTTGTTTCTCTTTGAAGACTTTGGTCGGGAACCATATGGTTAATGGCTTCTCCGTATGAATAATATCGGATAACTTAATGGATAAAGCTTGGATGCAAGTAAGAATCCTTTGAAGACCCATTTTTGAATGATGAACAATGAGATCTTTCCAGTTTCCTAAAATTCCAATAGATCACCAAAATTAAACTCGCACTTTCAAATGCACTTGGCAAATTGTATTGTCTTCCTCTTTTCCCTTTTCATTTTTAATCGCAAATGCTATTTCTAATATCAGTCTAATGCAATATGTTCCTGCCAAACGAAAACTTTTAACCAACATTTTTTACATCAAGCATCATGGCAATTCCTGCACTAATTCCCTATCAACAGTATCGTTGCTATATTACTCGTATAGAGTTTAATCTATGACGTGTTCATACTTTTGTGTCATAAATATAAAGCTGCGCAAACTAAGATTCCTTGCTTCAGGTGGAAGCAGACGTATCTATCAGTGGTAATTCTGCCCGCAGTTGAAATGTATGGGCCACCCTCTTGGTTAATTCATGGTTGACACCCCTCCCATCGATCGTAAATGAGAACAATGATTGTATATTGTAATATGCCTCTGAAACTAATCCCTTTGTTACCACTGGCCACATCCAATAAACCTTTTAATATTTCTGGCCGGTTCTTTCAATAACGGTAGCTGACTTTGCCCCTACAACATAATGAAAAAGACATGGTTGGCTTTGGTTCTTAAAAGTTCTCGCTATTCGTATCACATAACTAATCCACAATGAATGCACTTGTAGGATGGTTTTACCAAAGTTCCAGGGCTCCTTTTCCATTGTGCAAAGAAATAACATGATATTTTAGAAAGTAATAAAGTTAATACTTAGATGTGTTTCTGTTAATTGAAACTCACTGATGACATTCTT